GGTAGAGAAATTCTACTAGAACCGGAAGCCTAAGCGACGACGATCGAATCTCGACAACGACAACGATAATCACATTGATCAAGGCGGCCGTTTGAGATCACCGAAAGGAGACGAATGGAGGTTGACTGCAACAGTGATTACCACGGCCGATTGAGGGAATCTAAAGGCGGCAGAGCTCACCGGCTTGCAGGATCTCTCCGGCGGCGACGGGTTTGCTGGGTTCGGAGTCGCTAGGGATCATGACAAATGATATTTTTGTCCCCTTTACTAAGTATGCAGCTTGCGATAACTCAACAAACTTGTTTTTGTTCTCATATTCGTTTTAGTTTATCTTTATTGATTGGTGCAAAGAATGTGTAACTCTATACCAAATGTCATGATTTTGGTCGGACAAATTAACTAAATTATCAATTTTGTTTGGACAGTCAAAATATTTAAATAAAAATTAATAATAATACATTCATCGGATACAATTCAATCTTAATCTTATCCTTGCGAAATTAATCAAAAATATTATATTTATAATATATATAATAAAAATAATTTTAAATATGGATCTAAAATATAAAATAAAATAAAATATGAATTCACTATCAAGATGTTATTTGTGTGTGAAAGGTTAAGATATAATGGCGTTAAGTTAGTTTTTGATTATTCAAATTAGATATTGAGTCCAAAGCTGTTCTTTTCTAATAGTCCTAAGTTGACTTTAGTCGATACCATTCTTACCCCCCACTTTGATTTTCTCAAATCAGACAAAATTATATTAAGGGTATTTTTAATAATGCTCCTATCATGCCCAAATTAGAATGAGTTTAGATGATTTGACTTATACTCTTTTGGGAGAAAGGGATATATCTTTTTATAACGGGTGAGTATTTTTATAATGAGCTTTTACTATTATTACTCTCGTGGTCAATGCTAGATACGAAGAAGGTGGTATGCCTCTTACAGATTAATTACGATCATGGTGTATTGAATCCGAGATATAATAACATCTGGTCTATTCAACTTAGGGCTAAGGTGTTCATGTGCTACTAAGACGTTGGCTATGTGACACTGAGAATATCGACCATATGATGTTGAAGTATCTTCCATGTTCTTTTTCAATAATCATTTGAGGCATCCATCATGAGCTATCAGATCGAGTCGAAAAGTGATCCATTTTAATTAACCAAGCAAATCAAATGAGATCGATCGTTTCGACTACATTTGTTCTACGGATACGTCTTGAGTAAAATGGGTTATACATATTATTAAAATGTACTTCGAGATAATTCGATCGTGTATGTCATCGAACCTTATTAAATATTAATATATTATTAATTATTTAAACTATCATATATATTTTTTTATTGTAGCATGATCATGAGACTGAAAAAAGAGTGTTTTTTTTAGAAACCTAAAGAATTTTTTTGAATTTATGGAAGTACTATTGAGAAACAAATCATAGATTGGCACCATACTAAAAAATTTATAGTTATTATAAAATTGAGACATTCATTGTACGCTTGAAATCTTTTTCCTTTTTTATTAGACAACAGAATAATAATCAAGTTGGTTTCCAAGAACCATTCTATCATGAAAGAATTGATGACCATCAACTTGATCACCAAAGAGAGAAAAAGAAGTGTTGCAGCAAAATGTCTGTGACAACAAAATTCATCTTTCTCCAAGTTTCAACCTTGGAATTTTCAAGGGTGTTAAAACAGTGTTTAGCTTGATAATTATATGATCCTCTAAAACACCCAAATAAATCCTCCAACATTATGCTTCGTTTATCATTAATATATAATAAAGTTTTGATTTTTTTTAAAGTAAACAATCAAGATGGCATTTGATCCCAAGATGTTATCAATAGTTAAATCTATTACTAGGTACGCTAGTTGACATTATAAAAAATATATTGGTTGAGGTCTTGAATCCTTAACACTTATAAATGGGTTTAGTATATCATCATCAGATTAATATTTTAAATATAAAATTAATGAATGAGCATTTAAATCTTCAACCTTTGAAGAGTGTGTATAGTACATTCCATCCATACCAATGTTTAGGTTTTAAGGTTGTGAACACATCCATTGTAAGTCATAAGCTTGAGGATCTCTCAAAGCATTGACTCCTTTGACAACCTATTCCAAAATGCAGTAAACAATACATTAGGCCAAATAGAGAAGTAAGAACAAACCTCTTCACTTCAGGCCAAATTAGGAAGCATGCACAACGACATCTCTGTCATGAGAATCCAATTATGATGACTGATCCAGAAATTTGCATGATCCATATACTTAACATTTAAATCAATAAAAAACATCATAATTAATTCAGCAACCGATTCATAGCAAGAACTTCCAAGAAAATGAATCAATAGGGACCCCTAGCAAGAGATAGCTATGCGCTAAGAATGGTCATGCATCAAATTCTAAAATGAAACAAGGCTTTCAACGATGACAAAAGCAATGAAATCATCACAAGCATGAAATACCTCCTCATGCTGCAAGCCCTTGCTCACCAGATCGTAGTAAACTAATCTTCGATAGTCACGTATCAGAATCTTGCCCTGGTTTATGAGAAGAGGCATAGGAGGACGTAAAACTCTCTCCACCTGGCGTACTCCCGTCGGCAATGCACACAGATGGAGATGAAACCTATGAATCCACACTCGGTGGGCACCCGACTCTTGCAGCATCCAAATATCCATCCAGTCTACCATGGCGAACCAATGGATAGCCAAATGAATGGTGCCTTCCATCTCTATCAATGAGTTGTTACCTCTCTCATGTTGGCGTTTAATATCTGGAAAAGGAACTTGTGTGAGCCTTTCATTGTCTAGATCAAGAGAGAGAATAATGTCTTCCAGGACGTTGTTTTGTGCAAGCCAATACATAGTTCCAGTTGCACTTGGTCTTCCCCAATTTAACAAAGTAAGCATAGCAAGAGCGCTGCTCACTTCCACCTTCCTCCATGTACTTCCACCAACAGTGAGTGCTTCCATCGCCAACGAGGTCGATCGGGTGCAGAACGTATGGATAACTTTGTACTGTCTTGAACCCGGATGATATCCTAAGCAAAAGTCTGAAAGAATTATATTTACACTGGTAAAATTATGCGGTAAGGAGAAGCTTTTGCAGGTGGCGGGGTTGTACAAGCAAACATCCAATTCCATGTAGATGTGGTAGAGGCAAAATAATCCATGGCAAGGAGGTGACATGACCAGCAGTGGGCGGCTGTGCCAGACGGCGACATGCTTTGCAACCCACGGTGCATCAACTACATCCAGGCGCGACAAGAGAGATCTAACGTTGGTAAAGTGTCGGTGAAATGTGAGGATGGAAGTAACTTCAGGGAGGA